GATGGCCAGGCCCCCTACAGACACTGCTCATGGTGCACACAAGGCTCCAACACGCGTTCACACGCACGCTGCCCAGCTCCCAGGCTCATGCAGGCCCTCATGCATGTTGGGGGGCACACACCCCTGTGCCGGTCCGCCACCTCTCACCGTCTCTGGCCCGCTTCTTGTCACTGAGCTCGCTCCGGTCGAAAGCACTGGCTCATAATGGGATCTTCGAACTACACATGGTCTGTGTGGGCAGAGCCGGGGTCAGGGAGGGGCACGAGGGACAGGCAGGACAGGCTCCTGGACAAGGTGCAGAGCTGTGGGCTACCACACCCCCACGCCAGCCCTCCTGGGTCCTCTCACCTCCTAAGGTTCCGGGAAGAGAAGGTCATTGTTTTTGTTCAGAACCCTGGAGGGGAGAGCAGGTGTGAGGTGAGAGACAGCCTCCTGCCAGGCCCGGGTGGGGACAGCAGCCCCCAGGACCTCACCTGTTTCCGCTGTAGAGTCAACCTCCCCAGCTTAGTGCAGAAGGCGGAATTCCCTCGCGCCAGAGATTTTCCGGGTTCCGGTCAGCAGCTTGTGCCTGGGGTGCATGGGAGGAAGCTGCAGATGGCCGGCCTGAACCAAACTCTGCCCTGCTGAAGGGGCTTCAGGAACCAGGAACCAGCCACGTAAGAGCAGCGCGCACCCAGGCCGGGCACGGTGGCTCACGGCTGTAACCCCGAAGCAAAGTTTGGGAGGCGAGGCGGGCGGTCACAAGGTCAGTTAGTTTCGAGGACCAGGCCTGTCCATATGGTGAAACCCTGTCTCTACTAAAAACACAAAATTAGCCCAGGCATGGTGGTGGCGCACCTGTTAGTCCCCAGCTACTTAGGAGGTCTGAGGAAGGAGAATCGCTTGAACCTGGGAGGTGGAGGTTTGCAGTGGAGCCAGGACTGAGCCACTATACTCCAGCCCTGGGTGACAGACCAAGATTCCGTCTCAAAAAAAAAAAAAAAGAGCAGCGCACACCCCCAGGGCTGGGTCCACTGAGGCAGGCAGGCCAGAGCCAGTGGCCTCCTGCTCAGAGCAGACCACAGGAGGCTCAGAGAGATAGATGGCCTGGGTCAAGGGCCACACAGTGCCAGGACTGGGAACTTCGCCATTGATGGCCAGGGCACGCTGCAGGGAGGGGCAAACTCGGCTTGCTTCCGGCTGCTGTGGGCTCTGCTCAGAAGGCGGTGGTGAGCTCCACTTAACTCTCAGAACAGACACTGCTGGGCCCAAGAGAGACAAAGTCTTAGGCAGTTTATACCTTTGGAGCACCACTTTGCTACTTATTAAAGACTTATTTAAGCCAGCTAACCAGAAGATACAAAGATGGAAGGCACGAATCGTTTTGGCAGACTTTTGTGATTTCAAGCCAGAAACCACCGTGGCTGGCCAGGCCCGAAGAGCTGGCTGGAGAGGGGAGATCTGGGTCAGTGCCAACTCCAGGAAGAGTTTGAGGAAAATTTCTGTTTGAATGATTACAGGAAAATGGTGGCAGGATATAGCCAATTATCCTGAGCTTATACACAAGAAGTTCTTGTCTATGAAAAAAATGCATAGAAAAAGGCAGGGATGGAAAGAAGGAGGGGAAATGCATTACCACGGTTATCAGCCGTGGCTCCTGGGCAAACAGAATCACAGTGGCTTTTTGCGATACAGTCCAACTTTGCGATAATGAGCAATATTATTTTTATTATCAGAAACAAGTTTTGTAGTATTTATTATTTAATCGAATCAGGCAGCCCCTAAACCAGAAAGTAGATCAGAGAGACTTCCTAGGAAGAAACAATGCTTTTTCTTTTTGAGATGGAGTTCTGCTCTGTCATCCATGGGCTGGAGTGCAGTGGCGTGATCTCAGCTGACTGAACTCCACCTCCCGGGTTCAAGCGATTTCCCTGGCTCCCGAGTAGCTGAATTACAGGGTGCCCACTACAGGCCTGGCTAATTTTTGTAGAGTTTTAATAAAACCGGGATTCCGCCATGTTGGCCAGGCCTGGTCTTACTCCATGGCCTCAGGGATCCGCCCACCCGTCTGCCTCCACAGTGGTTGGATGACAGGCGTGAGCCCCACTGTGCCCCATCAGAGACAAATTTTAAATATCGTTTTGTGTTGTTGTTGTTGTTGTTGAGGACGGGAGTCTCACTGCATGTCCGCCCGGGCTGGGAGGCCAGTGGCTGGATCTCAGCTCACCTTTTTTTTTTGCATTTTTTTGAAACGTGGCCCACGTGGGCAGGACGGGTTTTGAGACGGAGTCTCGCTTTTTTTTTTTTTTTGGAGTGCAGTGGTCGCAATCTGGGCTCACTGCAAGCTCTGCTTCCCAGGCTCAAGTGGGAGGTTCACTTAATTATCTTGCCTCAGCCTCCCGAGTAGCTGGGATTACAGGCACCTGCCATCATGCCCAGCTAACTTTTGTAGAGCGGGGGTTTCACCGTGTTGGCCAGGCGATCTTGAACTCACGACCTCAGGTGATCCGCCCGCCTCGGCCTCCCAAAGTGCTGGGATTACAGGCGTGAGCCACCGCACCCGGCCCCTTAGTTCTTTTTTCTCCTTGTCCCCCTCCTCCTTTTTTTTTTTTTTGCTGGAGTACTTAGCAGCTTCCCCTCAGTTTTTCCCCGTAGCCACTGTTTTTTTTTTTTTTCACTGCACCCGCCCCTCCTTACCCTTTAAAGCTCAGCCGAGCGTCATTTCTAGAAGACGCCTCCTGGTGCTCCCTACCCCTCAGACTGGATGAGCTGTCCCTTTGTGGTTTTTTTTTTTTTTCCAGGCACACACCTGCTACTCTCGGACCACACGGAATTGTGAGTCTTTTTTTTTTTTTTTTTTCCTCCGCCAGGCCTGAGATCCTTCCAGATCCTGCAGAGCAGCGTATTTTTTTTTTTTTTGAATGTGTAGCGTGGGACACGCTGTTCAGGAACGCAGCCCTGAAGTTTTTTTTTTTTTTTTAAGGGTCACTAATGGGAGGTGTAGCATTGAGGTTGCTGGGAGACCTGTTTTTTTTTTTTTTACTGGAGTGAGGCTCGGAGACTGCGGTCCCTCGCCCAGCCGGAGGGTTTTTTTTTTTTTTTGCCCCCTCCTCTGCGGTGAGGAATGTGCGGTGGGAGGAATAAGGGCCTTTTTTTTTTTTTTGCTGTTGCTTGCGTCACTAGCCGGGGGAGTGGGGTACTCGCTGCTGGGGTCAGCAGCTTTAGCCTAGCTCCGGCCAACCTTCCATGCCTCTCGGCTCGCCAGGTCGCCTTTTTTTTTTTTTTGAGCCTCCTGCAGCTGGTGGAGATCCTGCAGTCCAAGGAGCCCGCCTTTTTTTTTTTTTTTAAGCCTAATGATGCCAAACAGCCCGGTAGGCCCCTCCCACGGGGGACTTTTTTTTTTTTTTTCCCCTGCAAGTGACAGACTGTCAGCGCCAGCCCGCTGACCGTGGCTCTCCCCCTCCCCCAGGCCGCTTTGATGAGGTGCTGATCCGGCACCAGGTGAAGTACCTGGGTTTTTTTTTTTTTTTGCGCGTGCGCAGAGCCGGCTTTGCCTATCGCCGCAAATACGAAGCTTTTTTTTTTTTTTTGGGGCAGGTCCGGCTTGGTGCCGGGGAAGGGGAGCGGGAGGGTAGGATTTTTTTTTTTTTTTGAGGGCAGACAGGGGTTCTCGGCCCCATTTTAGAAATGTGGACGCGTTTTTTTTTTTTTTCTGGGGGCCTCGTGCTAGGAACCTTCGGTGCTGCAGACCTGACATCAAGCTGGGTGGACAGAACGACCGGCTCCCCTGGCCGTGCCCTCCGGGAGCGCCCGCTCAGGGGCACAGGATGCCTAGGTCCACGCGCCGGGCATCAGAGGCAGGCGGTAGCAAGCCTTGTAGGGCAGCTTCCAAGCGGCTCAGAAAGGGTGGAGCGGCTTTGTGGTTCTTCTGAGTCGGGGGTCTTTTTTTTTTTTTTGTGTGAATTTCATCTCTGCCACTTCCTAGTTACTTGGCCTTAGATAGTTTTTTTTTTTTTTCTCATCTTTAAAATGGGGGCAGTGACCGAGTGAGCCTCCTGCGAGCTTTTTTTTTTTTTTTGGGAGCACCCAGTGGGTGCCCAGAGCAGGCTGCTAACTGGGGTGGGTAGGGACCGCGTGCATTCCTGCCCCTCCTATCCCCAGGTACAAGTCACTGTGCCCAGAAACGTTTTTTTTTTTTTTAGGACGGCCGCAGGATGGGGTGGCTGTGCTGGTCCGGCACCTGGGCTTTTTTTTTTTTTTTTACAAGATGGGCAGGTGAGTAGTGCCCATGCCAGGTGCCTGCGGGGAATAGGGGTGGCAACCCCAGGCTGATCACTGCTGCTTTCCCAGGACCAAGATCTTCATCCGCTTTTTTTTTTTTTTGTTTGCCACAGAGGATGCCCTGGAGGTCCGGCGGCAGAGCCTAGGTGTTTTTTTTTTTTTTCTTTCCTGCCGCACGGGGTCTGTTCCGGGAAGCAGGGAAGTCAGTCCTTTTTTTTTTTTTTCCAGGGAGTCCACCCCTCCCTACCAGCTCCAGCCCCACACCCAGCTCTTTTTTTTTTTTTTCCGGGGAGTCCACTAGTTGACTTGGAACCCCCTCCCTACCAGCTCCATTTTTTTTTTTTTTATCGCACCCACTGCCCCCCCTTCTCCGGGCAGTCCCCACATTCATTCTTTTTTTTTTTTTTCCTGCTCGCTGGCTCCTTCGGCCACTGTCCCATTCATGCCACTCATGGAGCTCAGACAGCACCAGGCTCCCAGCTGGCTCCCCGCGCTCTGGCCAATTGCCTTTCTTTTTTTTTTTTTTTTTCAAAGATCCAAGCTGCCTGGAGGGGCTTTCACTGGCGGCAGAAATTCTTTTTTTTTTTTTTATCAGGTTCGTGGGCCCATGGGTTTTCAGGAGGGGCGGGGTCTGGGGTTTTTTTTTTTTTTCCCACCACGGTAAGAAGATAGAGGTCAGCCATCTGTGGTCTCCACGACAGCCATCTGCATCCAGTCGTGGTGGCGTGGAACGCTGGGCCGGAGGAAGGCAACCAAGAGTTTTTTTTTTTTTTAGACCATCCGGCGGTGAGCACCAGGGTGCCTTGTGGGGGCTGCAGAGTTTTTTTTTTTTTTGGTTCACCACCAGCCTCCTCGCCCTCAACCCTGTCTGGCCCCCGACCCCAGGCTCATCCGAGGCTTCATCCTGCGCCACGCCCCCCGTTGCCCCGAGAACGCCTTCTTTTTTTTTTTTTTTTGCACCTCTTTTTTGCTAAACCTGCGGCGGCAGCTGCCCCGGAATGTCTTTTTTTTTTTTTTGCCCACACCCCCACCTGCCCTGCGTGAGGTCTGTGGGCACCCCCTGCTTTTTTTTTTTTTTTCAAAGTACACAGCAGAAGGGTCTGATTTCTTGGGGCCAAAGGATCGTTTTTTTTTTTTTTCACGGAGGGCCCGGACCAGAGCTGGGCAGTGAAAAGTAAGGTTTCTCTTTTTTTTTTTTTTTTTTTGGAGTCTCACACTGTCGCCCAGGGAGTGGCGCGATCTTGGCTCACTGCAACCTTTGCCTCCCGGGTTCAAGCGATTCTCCTGCCTCAGCCTCCCAAGTAGCTGGGATTACAGGCACCTGCCACTACGCCCAGCTAATTTTTTTATTTTTAGTAGAGACATGGTTTCACCGTGTTGGCCTGGCTGGTCTTGAACTCCTGACCTCGGGTGATCCACCCACCTCGGCCTCCCGAAGTGCTGGGATTATAGGCGTGAACCACCGCGCCCTGCTGAGTAAGGTCTCTTGACTCAGGAGTGGAAGCATCGTCCAGATGGAGGGGGCTTTGCTTATCCAAAGGCTGCGGTAACATATGTTCGATGTCTTCAGAGGGAAGGGCCCAGGGTGTCCAGGAGCTTTGACCTCACTCTTCCCGTCAGGCCTCAGAGCTTCTGCGGGAGCTGTGCATAAAGAACATGGTGTGGAAATACTGCCGGAGTATCAGCCCTGAGTGGAAGCAGCAGGTACGGAGAGTGGTGCTGGGTGAGGATGAGGAAGTGGAGTCAGGGAACCGCAGGCATTCCTCAGAGAGTGTCGGCCTAGAGGGGCATTTACCCTGGTCTACCGTATTTACCCCGCCTACTGTATTTACCCTGGTCTATTCTATTTACCCCAGTCTACCGTATTTACCCCGGTCTACTCTACCCCGTCTATCGTATTTACTCCGGTCTACCGTATTTACCCTGCCTTCCTTATTTATCTCGGCTTATCGTATTTACTCTGCCTACCGTATTATCTCGGCCTACCGTATTTACCGCGTCTGTCGTATTTACTCTGATCTACCGTATTTATCCTGCCTACCGTATTTACCCTCGTCTACCGTATTTACCTCAGCCTACCGTATTTACCCCGTATTTACCCCGCCTATCGTATTTACCTCGTCTATCGTATTTACCCCGTCTATCGTATTTATCTCGGTTTACCATACTTACCCCGCCTACCGTATTTACCCATCTGCCGTATTTACCCCTGTCTGCCGTACTTATGCCTGTCTGCCATATTTACCCCTGTGTGCCATATTTACCCCTGTCTGCCGTATTTACGCCTGTCTGCCGTATTTACCCCTGTCTACTGTCGTTTCTTCGGTCTACTGTATTTACCCCGGTCTACTGGCGACCTCAGTTGGATGCCAGGCCCTGCTGGGCCTTGTGTAGGAAGTGGACGCTGGAGTACATTTGGGGTGGCCAATAGGGTTCACCTTGTGGGCCAACTGCCCTTGATGGGTAGAGACTGCTCAGAACCCTGTGTTGAAAAGTCTGTGTCTGGCCGGGCGCGGTGGCTCAAGCCTGTAATCCCAGCACTTTGGGAGGCCAAGACGGGCGGATCACGAGGTCAGGAGATCGAGACCATCCTGGCTAACACGGTGAAACCCCGTCTCTATTAAGAAATACAAAAAACTAGCCGGGCGAGGTGGCGGGCGCCTGTAGTCCGAGCTACTCGGGAGGCTGAGGCCGGAGAATGGCGTGAACGCGAGAGGCGGAGCTTGCAGTGAGCTGAGATCCGGCCACTGCACTCCAGCCTAGGTGACAGAGCGAGACTCCGTCTCAAAAAAAAAAAAAAAAAAAAGAAAAGTCTGCGTCTTCACTTGGATGGATTGGTGATGTTTGCCCTCATTACAGGCATTGGTTGATGTGCCGTGTTTTTGCCAACTCAGTACTGGATGATTCTAAAACACCCACCCAGCATAGATAACCTCTGGTAACCTTGAGTATTAGTGATCTGCTACTTAGAAGACCCCAAGCTGGAGCTGAGTCTCAGGGCCACCAGGGCCTGATGGGGTGGGGAAACATTACAAAGGCTAGTTTCAAAACCCGGCAGTGCCTTCATGACACCGCTGGGGAGTGTTTGGTGGTGACAGAGGGTCAGGAAGTGGGGGGTTGATGGGAGTGTGGGGGGCAGGGCTCAACCTCCTGGTGCTGAGCAAGAGAGGGACCAGCAAGCAGGTGAGGGAGGCTGTCTCAGGTCCTAAGGCTGGCTCTGCCCCCCAAGATGGTACCCCCCACCGTGACACTCTCCTCACCCCCCTTGTCTCCTTAGCTGCAGCAGAAGGCCGTGGCTAGTGAGATCTTCAAGGGCAAGAAGGATAATTACCCTCAGAGTGTGCCCAGACTCTTCATTAGCACTCGGCTTGGTGAGCCCTTGACTTTCCAGCACTCAGACCTTTCGTCATTGTCCTGGTCCCCTGTTGCCTCCTCTGACCTCCCTCCCTGCCATCTGGGTTGCAGGTGCAGACGAGATCAGCTCCCGAGTGCTTCAGGCCCTGGGCTCTGAGCCCATTCAGGTAAGACCCTGCCCTCAACGCTGAGTCCACCTGAGCCCATTCAGGTAAGAGCCTGCCTGCAGCCCTGAGTCCGGCAGCGCGGTTCTGCTGCCAGGAGCTGGAGGCAGGTCAGGGTACAGGCGGAGCCTTGGGAGCTTCTCCCCAAGCCCCTTCAGCCTGGCCTCTGTCCCCAGTATGCTGTGCCTGTCGTGAAATATGACCGCAAGGGCTACAAGCCTCGCTCCCGGCAGCTGCTGCTTACGCCCAACGCCGTGGTCATCGTGGAGGACGCCAAAGTTAAGCAGAGGATTGATTACGCCAACCTGACCGGTCAGCCAGGGTCCAGGGCCGCAGGGGGAGGGCCCCTGCTTTGACACTTGACCTCTGACCTTTGCCCTCTCCCTTCAGGAATCTCTGTGAGCAGCCTGAGCGACAGTCTGTTTGTGCTTCATGTACAGCGTGAAGACAATAAGCAAAAGGTGCCCTTTCATGGATGGGGAGGTGGATTGGGGAGTAATGGGGGGGATGGGGAGGTGGAGGTGGGCGGTGGATGAGGAGGTGGGGGGGAGGGGGTGGGGGTGGATGGGAGGTGGGGGATGGATGGGAAATAGGGGGAGGGATGGGGTGAATGGGTGCTGGATGGGCGGAGGAGATTGGGGTGATGGGGGTAGGGGGTGGATGGGAAGGCTGAGGGCAGAGGTTCCTCGAGTTCTGCGCCAGGGCCTGATCCTCTTCCCTGGCCCCCCAGGAGATGTGGTGCTGCAGAGTGACCAATGTTGATTGAACACGCTGACAGCGACAGCCATCAGTGCGCGACCGGCGTGAACAAACGTCAACATCAACCAGGGCAGTGAGATGCGGGCCGGAAGTGGGTGAGGGAAGGCTGTGTGGCACGCCAGGGACAGGTGGGGGTGGAGAGGAGGGCCTGTGTGGGCACCGGGAACAGGGTGGGGGGTGGAGAGGGCTGTGGATCCCCAGGAAGAGACGGGGCCCACCTTAGAGTTGGGGGTCTGTCCTCCCATGGAAAAACCTCACGCCACCCCGTTCCTCAGCCATCACGTTTGCAGGGGCCCGGCAGGGATGGTACCGCAATCGGACTTCACCCCCGGCGGAGCTGCCCCTCCCATCACCAAGCGCCAAAAACGGGCCCCACCTGGCGCTGTGGTGAGTGGGGTCTGCTTTCCCCCGCTCAGGGGCCTGGCTGGCCTTCTTGGCTGTGCTGGGGCCAGAAGTCGCGGCCACCTCGACCATGGGCCTTAATCACAGAGGCCCATCATACCCACCTCTTTCCATCCGCCCGCCCACCCATGAGGCCGGAGAGAGGGGGCCTGTTTCCACCCTCGTGCAGAAAGTTGTAAAGGTGCGCAGCACGGGCCCAACGCCTGCGTGATGCCAGCACGATGGGGAATGGCTGAGGCGGGCGATTCACCTGAGGCCAAGGAGTTTGAGACCAAGCCTTGACCAACAGGTGAAACACCATCTACTAAAAAAAAAATAGAAAAAGCCGGGTGGCAGTGGCTCACCACCTGAATCCCAGCACTTTGGAGGGCCAGGAGGGGCGGATCGCCTGGAGGTCAGGAAGGGTCTCGATGACCAGCCTGGCCAACATGGTGAAACCCGACTCTACTAAAAATAAAAGAATTAGCCTGGGAAGTGGTGGTGTGTGCCTGTACATCACTAGAGCTAGTAGTCCCAATGGGGCCTGAGGCGCAGGAGAATGCGTTTGAACCACAGGAGGTGGATATTGGCAGGTACAGCTGAATCAATAGCCACTGCACTCCAGCCTGGGGAAGCAGACGTGAGATGCCATCTCAAAAAAAAAAAAAAAGGCCAGTTGGTGGCTCACACCTGTGGATCCCCAGCACTTTGGGAAAGGCCCAAAGGCGGCAGATCACCGTGGAGGTCGGGAGTATCGAAACAGCCTGACACCAACAATGGGGAGAAAACCCGTCTCTACCAAAATACAAATCTAGCAGGGCATGGTGACGCATGCCTGTAATCCCAGCTACCTCGGAGGCCTAAGGCAGGAGAGACACTTAACCTGGGGGGTGGGAGGTTGCGGTTGAGCCTAGATTGCGCCCAACCTGCACTCCAGGCCTGGGCCAACAAGACAAAAACGCTTGGTCTCCCTGAAAAATATATATATACAAAAACGTGCCGGTGTCGGTGGCGGCGTGGTACCTGCCCCGCCCCAGTTGCCTCAGGAGCTGACGGTGGGAGGATCCTCTGCAGCCCAGGAGGGCTGCAAGGCTCCAGTTGGACC